CAGGATAGTGTTATTTTCAGCATCACATACCTGATGGTCCAGTGCTTGTGGAAGTGCAAATATCCTCTGTCTGTGTCTCACACTCCACTTCTATTGCAGTCTCATCTTCCTAATTCTCAGGATCTTCATTTGTATCCCTTTCCTGCTCTGAGTCCTCGCTCTGAAAATAAATGAATCCCGTGTCCTCTGACTCTCCCTCTCTGGTGCTTTCAACTTGCTCCTCTTCAAATCTCTCACCACTATCAATCATCATCTGACTCTCTGTGTCTGGATAAATGTGTTTCTTTTTCATATAGAAATATGATGTAATGTCAGTTTTTCTTTTCATTTTTAACGTTAAATGTTTAAGTGAAGAGGAATTAGACTTAATAATGCTCCTGTTGGGGACTTGTTTCGTTTTGTGATTTTACATTGAAAATATAAATCGTGTCGTGTCAAAATAGCACTCGTGTCGTGGTAATCTGCTTCTCTGCGGACTGCTTCTCATTTTCCCGCTCAATTTTAAGTGGTGCAGCACACTAAAGGGTCCGACTAGAATGTTAAGCCACGCACTTTGGTTCCACCTTTCGTGTCTGCAACTCTGCGCCACTGCGTAATCTACGTTCGGAGGGGGGGCCACAGGGGGGGCCAGAGTCAGTGCTACAGGGGCACTGGCCCCCGTTGGCCCCCCCCAGAACCGCCACTGCTCCAAGGCTGTTTCCACGGTAATGAGATGTTTTGTACCAGGGGCTGGGATGAGCGAGGCCACATATTCGCGCACATAAACCCATATGAACGCAACCCGCAACATTATCAATGCCAACTACCCCGCCTTTGTAGTGCAGGCGTGCTGCGGAACATGCGGTGTGTCGATTGAAGGTCACAATCACCCGATTGTTGAGGCTTCCCACTGTTGGTCTTTTTTTTTTTTTTTTTTTTAAATATTTGTCCTTTTGGATGGGTTGTAACTGTGAAGTGAATTTCTAGGCTCTGTACTTGTGCCCATGTGCAATGGCAATACATTTAATTTGATTCCATTCCGCAATACAAATCTCATTTCATTCTTTACCGGCACCAATTTTGAATCTGCAGGGTGAAAAGACTGAAAGTTCGTCAAGGAAAAGATGAAGATTGTGATTTTCATGAATCAGCAGAGATGATCGCATTTGCCAGTCCGAACATACACACGCCTTTGTTTTGTACTCTTCGTTGAAAGTAAGCTTTAACGCTTAGATTCGAAAATGTAACCTCCTGTACGTACAGCACATATGGCCATTTTCAATGTTCACATTTTAGATCCATTCTCTTAATAAACACAGATTTCTGAAAGATATCTTACATCGGATATCTGTCGATTATTGATGTGGCGTTTTTGTCAGCGTACTTGACATGAAATGTCGGACTTCTTGATGCCCAGAATGGAAGCTGACTCTCATCGTAATAACAAATGCCGAACCGTGAGGCTAATATTAGGCAAAGTCACTGCTGTTTCGGTAAGTTAAGAAAGCATCTCTTGGTTTTATTTCTGCTTGTGTTTGCACAGAGTCAAGCGGTGAGAGGTGTTTTGAATTGCATGGGGATCGTACTTTGCCAAGGTGTTCACTTTGCCACTGCAGCCAAAGTTTTTCGATCCATTGTCAATTTCTTAGACCTCAATTTAGAACACAGGTGTCAAACTCAAGGCCCGGGGGCCAAATCTGGCTCGCCCCATCATTTTATGCGGCCCGCGAAAGCAGCTCAAACATGTCAACTTCCACGATCCTTTCTAAAATGTCTCCCAAAATTTTCAGTTATCATCTGAAATAAATAAGACATATATCCGAAGCATTTTCTTGTCACCAAACCCCTCATGATAGTAACTTAAACAAGAGTTGAATCAACAGTTATTCTTGACTTCTCTCTATGGTTTCAGTCATATCGGCCCTCCAAGTGAAACGGTAACTAAAATTTGGCCCGCGCCATAAATTAGTTTGACACCCCTGTCTGAGAACATCAGCTAATATGAACTGATTACAGAAAAAAAAATAAAAAATCAAACACAGGTCGGTCGACCACTCGAGTCTTTCCGTTTTAAACCACCTCATGTGGGACAAATATGATGGGAAAACTCTCTATAGTGGTCTGTGGAGTTGATGAGGGAGTCATTTTGAACACAATCATTGTCTTTGTAGCACCAAATCTTATGGTGGCTGAAGAGGATTGCACTGTACTGTATGTAATTATTATTTTTTTTTTATTGTACTGTCATATGTATGCGTCATTGTTGCAACAATGTCGTTGAATGCGAAAATTCCTCGTGCATGATCAACATATAGAAAAAGTCCCTTTAAAAATAGACTAATCTCATACCAAGACAGATCAATACAACAAATAACGGATGCTAGTGTTTTTTTCTTTTCCCCACAGTCCACAGAAGGAGATATCTCAAATCAAGCTTTTGTGTCTTCTCTTCCTTCTCCATTTGCGCTGACTCACCCTCAACAAAAAAAGAGCAAAACCCGAACGGAATAAGCTCAAAGCCAGCATCACAACCGGTACAGAATGATACATGTTAGATGAATACACTAACAAATACGCGGGTTATTATTAAAATACCGTAAAAAAAAAAAAAAAGTCTTTGTATTCTATTTCATCTGCATTCATTCACCTTCCACCTCTCTCTTATTCTAGAGCCGGGAAGTGTGTGTGACCTCGATCACGTCATTTGAGGAACATGCATGTCCTCCTCTCCCGCCGGGGGCCAGCAACTGAGTGCTCAGAGCCACTCGGACGGCTTCTACACGTTAGTCTCCAGACCGTTCATGTCGATGGAACAGTGGTCCTTGTCTCTGTGGCCTCTCTTGTGGTGAGAAGAGTGAGCGTGTTTCTTCTTCTCGATGGGTCGAATGCCCTCCTCCAGTTGGATCAGGCGGGCCACGTCTGGGGAAAGGTGGTCGTGCTTGCTGCCCGGTGGCGGCGGTTGGTAGCAGCCGTTCTTCTGGTTCTGGTAGCTCATCATCTGCTGGATGCTAATCATGGGCTTTGTCTCACAGATCAGAGGTACCTAATAAGAAGCCGCAGTGAATTATAACGAATCAATACGTTATCCTTGACTTTCGTGTTCTCTCACCTGTTCGCCTTCTTTGATAAAGTCTTTCCTGCAGATGTGAGCCATGATACCCGTGGCCAAGGCGTCCCCCATCACGTTGACCATGGTCCTAAATCGATCCCTGCGTGACAAAAATCAAACGTCATTTCCTCAGGTACGTACGGGAACTGTTTGTAGAGCTTTTAGGCATGAGTTGAAGGGGTCCTCATCCATCCATCCAGTTTCTGATCCACTTATCCTCACAAGGGTCGCGGGGCATGCTGGAGCCTATCCCAGCTGTCTTCGGGCACACCCTGAACCGGTTGCTAGCCAATCGCAGGGTACACAGAGAAAAACAACCATACACGCCCACACTCACACCTAGGGATGATTTTGAGTGTTCAATCAGCTTGCCATGCATGTTTTTAGGGTGTGGGAGGAAACCCACGCAGGCACAGGGAGAACATGCAAACTCCACACAGGGAGGCCAGAGCCGGAATTGAACCCTACACTTCTGCACTATGAGGCCGACGCGCTAACCACTGGGCCACCGGGCTGTGCTAAAGGGGAGCTATCACAGAAAATTTACTTGTTTACAAATAATTAGTTGGAGTTGCTGCCAAGCCATCAAAAACAAAACAAATCAAAACAACAACAACCCCCCCTGCCCCTTCTTTATTGAGTCCAGAGTAAGTAAAGCAAAATGCAAAGAAAGTGTGTCAAAAAATTAAGCACACCCACTGATGACGCAATCATGACCTTAATGTTGCCACTATGATGGTATCGCTGACTTGTGGCAGGATCTTGACCCACTATTCTTTAGCACGTGACTTTATTTACAGCCAGTGGTTTATGAGCACATCTTTTAAGGTCATCATATTGCGGTCTGGACTTTGACTGCGCCGTTGACGACGCCTTGATTGACACTTATTCTTTTTTCGTCATTCTCTATGCAGCTGTGCTGGAAGAAGAATAGTTTTTTGCTCACATTTGGCGCATTGATTTCGGGAGACAGATTGTGCTTGTTTTCTATGTGTGGTAATTGGCATCCCACCACATTCCCAGAGTTGTTTTGGTCGTTTCAAATAGGTTTTGGGTTTAGTTTTCGTTGTAATTTTGCAAAAGTCCAACTTTGCGCAGATGAATTGTATCCCGTGGTGAAAATTGACAAATTTTCTCCACAGTACATAAATATTGTCTCCCTTCTTATTATACACGAGCGGACTCCAGATTGTTTGGAAGTTGCCCTGTTACTATAAATCTTTCGGCAGCAATTAGAACTCAGGATGCATGGGCAGCAGTGCCTAAAAATTCGCCGATCGTCCGCACGCCGATACCACATCACCAACCTAATAGATACTTTCGGGGTAGGAGCTACGTCAGCCATGTGGGTGCAGCGATTTTTTGAGGATGCTTTATTGACAAAAAAGCAATTTTCCCCCTTTGAACTAATTGGCAGTTATGAGTGTGTTCTGCAGATGCAACTGCGTTTTAGATAAAGCCGTGCATCTGTGGGTCCGTTTTGTTCGTTCCTGTGTTATTTTTCACCCGATTGCATGAGCTGCGTTGAGGTCTATTTAATAAATAAAAATGAATGTGTTTCTCTCTTTCTGCGAGGGGAGTCAACATTAGTCCTGCACTGCTTGAGTGAAGTCTGAATGATTCATTTTGCGTCACAGTTGCAGTGCCAAGTACTATTTAGTATGTAAAGCCATAACAATTGAAAGAAGGTGCGCTTTCCATTTGACATGATTGTGCTGTTGCTTTGATTGAAATGTTCTACGTTCCTTCAAGAAACAAAAAAAAAATTATTTAGCATAAAAGAAGACTCCAAGCATACTTTGTCAACCTCTCCTGAGCTACTGTCCGGTACTTACAAAGCCCAGTCAACAGCAATAATGAGACTGATGTCATCGGTAGGCAGACCCACAGAGGTCAGCACGATCACCATGGTAACCAGTCCAGCTTGCGGGATCCCAGCTGCACCAATACTGGCTGCTGTGGCAGTAATGCTGGGAAAAAAAAGATGCATTTATTTATTTATTTTTTGACATTGTTCCTACATGGTGCCTTCATTATCGTTACCGCCCCCCCCTACAAAAAAAAACAAAAAACAAAAAAAAAACAACAAAAAAAAATTACACACACACACACACACACACACACACACACACACACACACACACAAATGTATGTATATGTAAAAGCACTTTGCAGAATTGCTTATGCAAACATGAATATGCAAATGCCGTAGGCCGTCACTCAGAGAGCGGCTGGCGCTTCCATATTGTAGAAAAAGGACAGTTGTGCACGAAGCTCTGTGGTCAGCAGCCAAACAGCACAGGAAGAGGGGGACAAATTATAATAATTCTGGCGTGACACGAGAGATGAGTCATACAGGTCATATGGGTTTTACTCCCAAGGGATTACGAGGGGATGGGCACAGCCTGAAGCTACGGGCAGAAGAGTGCCTAATGTTATTACATGAGGACATGCCATTAAATCAGAGCGACGTTATTTAACCCAGCGCCCCCCCTCGGCCCACCCGGTCCGTGTGGACTTGTTTACCTGTTGCAAAGGTATAGAGCAACAGTGTGCGAGTAGACAAGGGCACCGTTGTACTTTTTGCGTTAACCTTCTGCGTCGCTGTTGCTTCCAGACTCATTTGGCAGAAATCAGATCAGACTAAGAAGCTCACATGAGGCATAATCTGTGGACATTTACACACAGTACATGTGTACCTAGTAAATCCTATCATATTTTTAATCATTTAGAAAACTCCATATGTGATGTGATTAAAATCAGACGCGGCGTTGGGAAACATCGCAAGTATGAGGCACTCTTTTGCTCAATAAGTAGAGGAAAAGGATGCATCTCATCCATTAGCCCACTTAAGAGCTATTTTGAGTTTCGACAAATTAAAAGTGGTCCAGGAAAGTCTAATGGGCACACATGATCAGTTGTGTCACATTTCTATGTACAATGGATTTTTTTTATTTTTTATTTTTTATTTTTTTTACATTTTTGGGGGTAGGGAAGCCAACGCTCATTTTTCATGGTTTGTCCAGTATTTTTTATTTATTTATTTATTTATTTTTTGTAATTCAAAAATTTGGGAGTTTGGAGGATATATTTATTTACGTTTCCCCCACTGCGTTTAGAATGGCCATCCATACACGGATTTTCGCTATTTGCAGGCTGGCTCGGTCTCTATCCCCCACGAATAGCACTCTAATCTGACCATTTACATCCAACCACAATGCAGATGTCAGCCTGTGAATAAAAAATATGTCCTCTCCTCGAATGTCGTATATGTTAGAACTCCACCGTTACATTTAGCTGAGGAGGGAGAAGTTAATTTCAATCACCCTGTATTACATTTTTTGAATGGTGGTCCACTCGTCGCTGCACCAATTTATTCAATTCAGTCAATGAAGTCATCACAAGCTCTGCTGGAAACCTCCAAACAACTATTTGTGCTCCAAAGCGTCAGAACATGATGAACTCTGCTTCCTTCGTCTGAACATTTTTTTTCTTTTTTTCCCGATGTTTTTATTCTTGTGCTTGTTTGATTCAAATAATGAATCAAAGCAAATGAAAACGAAACTTTTGCACAATGTTTTGCTTACCTAATGGTGATGATTTGTCCAAAGTCGAGTTCATAGTTGTTCACTTGGGCTATAAAAATGGCCGCTACAGCCTCGTAGAGGGCGGTCCCGTCCATGTTGATGGTGGCCCCCACAGGCAGCACGAAGCGGATGATGCGTCTGTCAATGTGGTTGTTTTCTAGGAGGCACTTGAAGGTGATAGGCAGAGTGGCAGAGCTGGGTGTGGGGGGGAGCAGAACATACAAATGTCATTGATAATATCATACAACTTGGTGATAGACTTGTTTTATTTATTCGCCGGTGCATTTTGACGAGTCGTTCACATATCTGACTCACAGTTATGAGGTTGCTGGGATTGAATCATCTGTAGTTTGCGTGTTCCTTAAGTGAATTTTCAATAAGTGTGAATGTAAGTGTCCCCTGTTTATCTGCGCTTGTCTACGAAATACCACGTGCTGCGCTGGATTTACGTCGGTCATGACAATAGAGCGCTATGTACTGCAAGTGTTATGCATTTTGTTGTTGTTGTTGTTGTTTTTTTTATATAGAAAAGAAGAACCAATTTCAAGTGTTACAAATATCCTTTTAAGTCCGGTTAATGATTTATGATGGGGATATCTGTAATTGATCTGATCAATGTGATTAAATACCTGAACCGATTGTGTTCCACTGTATCTAGTGTACTGTGATCATATGCTTAATAGTTCCCTGCGGGGAACAAAACTCTCCACCCCACAATGTGTCATTTGTTTTAAGCTTGATATTTGCTTATTGCCTCTGCAAAGACATTAAAATCACCACAAACTTCACCGTGCCCGTACAATCGAACATAAGCTTCATAAATGCATCCGGAACGGCCTCGTACTAAATTTACCTGGATGAAGTGGCCAAGGAAATAAGTAGGGCCTGCAGAATTCCTCTTATGTAAACAATGGGGCTCTTCTTGGTGATAAAGAAATACATGGCAGGCAGGATGAAAAGACCATGAAGCACCAAGCCCATTACGACTGTGATGGCATAAAATCCCAGTTTCTTCCCCATGGCTGACGGATCGTCCATCTCCAAGATTTTTCCGGCAACCAGGAAAACAATGCCGAAGGGGAAATACCTAAAAACAAAGGGACCAAAAAGAAAAAATTGTGTTTGGGTATATGAGGTTTCGGTATGTTAAGAGCAAGCAAACCCATGCATGCACAAATTGGACATCGTGATATTAGGTGGGTAACCAGCTGTCCCATCATCATTTTATCTTATTTTTTTCCTACAAAAAATATTGATCAACATTCAATATACACTGCATACATATGGGGCAAACGGGGAACGAAATCAGGGGAAAACTGGGAAAAATCCAAAATATGAAAAAATATTGAAACAAAAAAATCTGCGAATATGCTAATCCACATGTATTGACCTGCAAGCATGCAGGAGTCAATAGTTTCAAGTTGTAATATGCACTTATATAGGGTTTTATACTGCCCAATACTAAATGAGTTCGCTTTAAAAGAAATGTGGATTTGGAATGACATGCAGGACAAACATGGCACTTCAATAAGATAACAACCTTAAGTGAGTTATTTGTGGAAAAAATGTACAAAATGAGTTCTCACACTTAATGTTGGTTACTTATTTAGCAGTTTTGTGCTGTCCTTGAATGGTATTTTTTATGCAACTCAGCCCTTTGCACCCTATAAAATTACAGTACGTAATTATTTTGTTGGTTGCTTCAAACACTTTGCTGTTCGGCTAGTCACGAGGGGTGGCGTGCGGCGCTTTGGCTGGTTCGACGCAACTGCGGGCTTTCACATGACAAGCGTCGAAAACGCCTCGGCGGTGGCGCTGCCATTCAAACGCCGCTAAATTCATCAAAATTCACGATGTTAGCCAATCAGCAACCCCGTTACTTGATTGACATACAGGGTAACCAATCAGATGACAACTTGAATTTTTACCTTTGGATCACCGCTCATGCGCAAACAACGGCGCTAAACGCTAAGCTAGTTCGCCAATTACGTCTAATTTGAAGAAAGGGGTACCCAATACGTCGATCGCGATCGACCGGTAGCCAGCGGACTGTTCGACCGCGAGGGTTGGGAGGAGTAAATGAGGGAGAAAAAAAAGATTTGTGTGTTTATGTGTTTCGGTGTTGTTCATTTTAGGGGTTGTTGCACATCCTGGAGTGCGTGCGTTCGCATCCTCGCGTTGTGCGCCCGTGTGCTTACATGCGTGCGCACGTGTGTGTGTGTGTGTGTGTGTGTGTGTGTGTGTGTGTGTGTGTGTGTGTGTGTGTGTGTGTGTGTGTGTGTCTATATGCTTGCAGTACGCGATCGGGTCGATTACTGGAGGTTGGTCGCTTCAAAAGTCGATCTTCGGTCAAAAAAAGTTTGGCCACCACTAGTAGTTAGTAACCGCTGCAGCTCACGTGCAGACAGTGCCCTGCTTCGAGTGGCAAACACGGAATACAAGCCACATTTGACGAGGATTGTTCAAGAGAAGGAATGCCAGAAGTCCCTCTACGAAGGTGCTAAGCAACATGCATAGTAAGAGAAAAACGTTCTTATATTTTTGTTTGTCGACTTGGTTGAACTGAGACTTTGTGTGTGTGAGACAGTGCACACAATGTTCACTGTTGAAAATGACTGGCCTGTGGTCTGAGTACTGTAGAGTCCATTTCTGTCATTATCATGTTGGTGTGTGACATTTACAATAAATGTGGCTGAGCAGAGGTTTGTGTGTGTGTGTGTGTGTGTGTGTGTACGTGAGTGCGTGTGAGTGAGAGAGAGAGAGAGGAAGGATGCGGTGATGTTTATGTGTGCCCATGTTTATGATGTGGCTCTTTGCTGTAACACAGTAAAAAAATTCCTCTGAGTCTCTGACTGGTTGGCCACCCCTGAGCTCGTGGATCTTTTATACCTGCATCGAAAATATATATGTCCAAAAACGTGAACTATGTGAAGAGCACGTAGTTTGCATGTATGCATGTATTTTGTCCATCTTCCAAATGACATTTTTCCTCATACGTCTGGTCAGGAAGTACGTGGCACTGATTAAAAAAAAAAAAAAATTGTGGCCCTCTTCCAGCATTTGAATTGCCCATGCCTGCTGCAAGGTACACAACCACAAGCAAATAGAGAGCAGGTTAAAATTGCTAAAATGAAATAGTTTGCTTTATGAAAAACACTTGTCGCCATTGTTAACGTTAAAACACAAAAGGGTTTTATTTTGAATGTGTTCTCTAATATCAGTCTGGCATACTTTGACAATCACCGGTAACTTATCTCATCTTCACTTTTGGAAATGTAATGTATGAATTAAAAACTTGTGCTACGTTATTCCAAAATGTTCAAAAAGCTCAACGAGACTCAAAAAGCAAATATTTAAACAATTTTTATCTGTATTATTTTGGCCCGAGTTAAATATCGGGTCAAATTTGGCCTGCTTTTGAGCATATTTGAACCCTTTCGGGGACAGTGGTTACTACAGTCGACAGCTTATCGTGTTCTCAGGTTACAGGGTACATGAAAGGGTGAAGGTAAACAATCAGAAGCTTGTTCTTACCAGATTACGATGGCAACAATCTTGAGAACTGCTTCATTCAAACTCTGACAGAAGTTGACCAAAGCACTTCCATTGGGCCCCATTCTCCCCAACATGATCCCTGCGATGAGTCACATCAAGTTCAGCTCATGCGTGATTCATAACCCGTACCTCGTGCACATGCGCACTACCTACAAAATGGACGGGCCGAAAGCTTACCCATGGTGGCGGAGAAAATGACGATGCCCAGCACGTTCATGCCCTCGCTCGTACCCGCCGACGTCTTCATGATGACGTCCGGCGGCGGCGTGAGATCCAGCGAAAAGTTCTGGATGTCGGTTCCGTTGTCATCCTGGATGCCGTAGATGTAGACCCGTCGAGTGGTGGTCTCATCCAGGAGCTGAGCCACTGTTGGTTTGGGGATATATTCGGGGTCTCGCTGGGTTCGGTACTTGAGAAGCAAAAAGGGAGAAGAGGCTATTTGAGCTTTCAGGGACAGCGGTTACGACCGTGGACAGCTTATCATGTTATCAGGTTACAGGGTGCATGAAAGGGTTAATTGTGTTTTCTGGTGAAAATATTATGCCGATTGCACTCATCGCTGCACGCTACTGGTCAGCAATGGCTGGTTAAGTCTTGACGTTCATGCCAATGTAAGTAAGTGTTCTCTTTTGAGTCCTTCACATAAAAATTTGACCGCTAGAGTCAATGGGGAAGTTTGAGTGCAATAACTCACTTGGAGGGGGTCTAAAAAGTTCTTTCTAGGTTCTTTCTGGGTTCCCAGTTTTGGGGTACTTGGATTGCTCTGGTTACTTGGAAATATTCCAAACTGAAGATCATATCCGGTGCTATCAGAATGCCTCTTTTGTAACAGAATGTGATCATTTCATCAATGTGGGCTGTATTAAAGTTGACAGAATTATGAAGAATGTAAGAAGTGATGCACCCCCCCGCCCCCTCACACAAGCAAGCCCGTCATTAAAATAAGAATCTAAGACGGCCCTGATTATAAGACGACCCCCTCTTTTTCAAGACTCAAGTTTGAAGAAAGACTTTTTGAACACCAAATTAATTTTTATACAGAAAATAATTACAGTACATCTGAAACAAATGATTATAACAATATATTTGAGAGAAAAAGCGTGTTATTTTGCCTCATTCACATCTTAACATCTGAACATTTAAATATCTAAAGTGCAATCACATTCGTAAATGAATGGTTTCTGGTTTTTGAAATGTAAATTACATCATAACTTCTCCTCAGCTGTCGGTTAACCTGGCCGATCTTCGACCCACTTTTCTCCAGATTGTCGCTACGTTTCTCCATTTTCTGTTATCTCTTCTATTATTTTCTTCTCTTGTCTTTCTTACCGCTGTTTTTTATTTGTCTTCTTCGTGCTATTTTTATTTTTATTCTTCGTGACAGGGGTTCACTTTGTCCCGGGGCGTCAAGTTCAGCATTTGCTTCAATGATATCTGGCGTCATCTAGTGTCGTGAATGGGTATAACGTCTAGACCCCGAATATAAGACGACCCCCACTTTTTCAGTCTTATTTCAATGCAAAAAACACCGTCTTATATTCGGACCAATTCGGTACTTTAATTCTTTGTAATGATTTCACTTCTTTTTCTATTGCACCATATTCATTTTTTTTAACCCTTTTGGGAACGGCGGTTACAACAGTGGACAGCTTATCATGATATCAGGTTATAGGGTGCATGAAAGGGTTAAAGGCACACTTAAAAAAAAAAATTCAACATAAAACTTTGCTTTGACACTGAAACACATTTTCATCCCTTCCAATGGGAAACGCGAGCACGCTTTTTAAAATTTCATGGGCTTCAGCATTCACACAATAAAACACAGTGGTAGGAAATGTAACACTCCAATTACCTGTTGAAACGTCGCTTGAACCAAGTTTGCTGGAAACATGTTGCTGCAGAGGAGAGGTTGAAAGGTTTGTTAAAAACCCCGAAGGAACCGACATGCAGCGAACAACCCTCACAGAGCAACGTAATGTCAACTTCCAACTTGTAGCAGCCATAATGTCATGAACATTTTCTGAAAAGAACTTCTTCATTCAAATATCTGCGTATTGAAATGATTCTCAGCATTTCTAGCATTCTCGTTTTATCCTTTTTTTTTTTCTCCCTACAACACAACAAAACAAGCTAAAAGCAGACTCATGTTCCAAGTACTACTCAAGTCCTTTTAGTTGAAGCGGGTATGCTCCCTTCCACCGAGGGCAGCTACAGCATCACTCTGAGTGCGGTGGCACATGTCCTTACATTCTACGGCCACCCACCCACCCACACACACACACACACACACACACACACACACACACACACACACGGAGAGCCTGCGCACGTCACCATTGTCATAATCAGTACACAGTTGAATCGCGTCGACTTTGCTCGCTCATTCATTCAAAGGCAATTTATTCCCGCTGTAATTTGATTCAAGGCGATGAAAATAGACCAAAATTTTCCAAGGGTTTTCCTCCCAAGACGATGAGAAAACCTCGCGGCCTCTTCTTGACATGCTTTTGTTTTTGACCATGACTACAAATATGATTGGAGCACAACAAAAAAATTACGCGGCGGCGGTGTCGTGCCCGTTGACCTAGTGTCACACTGACACAGTGGCTCTCGGGGGCCCGCAACAAAGCTGACCTCAAACACACCCTGCTGGCTTTGAGCAGCTCTAATTAGCTTAGCGCGACAGCCCGCTGGCACACATTACTCAAGGATTTCCCCTCCTTGCTCGAGCACTCCCGTGACTTCACTCCTCATAAGATTGCGTGTGCAGTCGACCACAAAATAATTTCACTGATAATGTGTCCAAGTGTGTCGTAAACCGATTGCAAACCAATGAAAGGGTTCGCTTTTAAGAAAAATTCCACAGCGAAGGCATCACAAGTGAGTCTGGCGGATTACATCCGTCATTTGAAGGGGACATGGAAAAGGCCAGCAAGAATTTATCTGCTGACCAAACACGATTAGAAGCATTGACCTACTTTTACAATTTAAATTCAGGTTTTTTTTTTTTTTTTTTTGAAGATGATATTGAATTAATTTATTCCCAATCGTCTATTCTCATTTCGTAGCGTTTATTTTGACTATGCCGCTATGTTCGTTTTTTTTTTTTTTTAATCCAATCAAATTTCAATCTACACTTGTTGCTATGCTAGTCTAATCTGCTCAGAAAGCAAGATGGCCCCTGCAGATGTCAACATTTTCCCTGCTCCTGATTGGTTGGTCCGAGCAAGCACATTTCAACCGGTAAAACACGTCTGGAGCATTTATAAATGCTGCCTGTTGAGTATGATATGTTTTATTTACATTTGAAATCTATTGTTATTGATTCTGAACTGCTCTAAATGATGAACGCTTATCCCGGTTGTTAGCATTAGCTGATACAAATAAGGGTTAAGCAGTTGTTGATGTGGAGGCATTACAAGTACAGCACTGTTTGTTTGACAAAGAAACAATTCATTCCTACCAAAATGCCGACTAAGCGAAGTTACCAGACGGTGAACACGGAACGGCTTTGCGGCTAGCGCTCACCGAATGAGATCCAGCAGAGCGTCGGCCGAGCTGGTCATGGGCTTCTTGCTCTCCTCGGAATCCTCCTTCTGAGCGGCTCCTCCGGGGTGAATGATGTACACCATGATGATGCCCACCACCACAGCAACAAAGGTGGTCCAGAGGTAGTAGGAAATAGTCATGATCCCCAGTCGACTCGAGCATTTGGCATCCAGGGCAGCCAGACCTGACATCAAACTAATTGAAATTTTCCAAGGAGGAGGACAGAGAGAGAAGAAAAGGAAGAGAAAAACATTTTAGAAAAACAATTTGTCCCCCTCAAATTGTGTGTGATGATTGAATTGTACACGCGCACACATGAATGTAAACTGGATTGCAAGGTAAATCTATTTTGCTGAACGTCGTGATTATAATTTCAGTACAAGATATCACTGCGCGTGTATGAGTAACTTCAATGTCCGGCTGCGTGAAGAGCTCGTCCTGCGCTGGTCACAGATTCGACCTCAGACGCAAAATTAGATCACAGGGCAAAGGTCAAGCTGAGCTTGATTGGTATAGCTTTGACAAAAACAAAACAAAACAAAACAAAAAAAAAAACCAATAAAATCCACAAAGGGTTTCAATTGCATTTGCGTTGTCCACTTGCCAAAGCCAAAACAAATGAAGAAAACAATCCCTGGCTACAATGTTTGACATTTCAGTCACTGGACAGAGACAAAAATTCCAAACAACTGACAGACCTCAAAAACTTCAACTTCAATTGAAAAAAATATTTCTGTTAACAAAATAAAATAAAAATGAAAATGCTTTTGAGAAAAAAAAACAAAAAACAAAAAGGGACTGAAACTACATCTTTTAATGAAACGAACTAAATAATCTATAACTACAGCGAAAATGGCTTAATTTTCATCTTTTTCAATTATTATCATAAATGAGCTTTTGGGGTTAATTTAAATTGCATTGTATTTATTTATTTTCTGCTGCTGTACATCTGTACAGAAGAAAGTACATTAAACAGTCCTTTGAGTATTGTAGTTTGCTTTTCTTCCTTATTACACAATACTGACCTTTTTTTTTCTCATGATTACCCTTTATTGTACTTTCATTTTTTTCCCCATTGGGATGATTTGGTGTTGCAGGCCATTCCTGTCAATCAACAGCTGGCATATGAGTCTAACTGCGACCTTCTAAAGTGGCAAATGACTCACAAGCATGCAAGCCCGTGATGGGATGCATACACAAAAATTGCCATAAATCTTCAGCCCAGTTGGAACGACGTATTGACAGACATGAATGGGTTGCATCGTTTTTGTGTCGTTTCGACCGACGCAACTCCCGGCAGCGGAGAGCCCATTGATTCTGCATGACACGTCCATGGGATAATCTGGTTTCCTCTTTGGCTGGCGCGCAGATGGTTGGGAGGAGGGAGAGAGAGAAAAAAAAATGGGGACAGACAGGCAATAGGGCCAGGGCAGATATTTCACCCCGAGATAAGCCGTGTCGACCAGCTGATCTGTGCATCACACAAGCACATACCTTCTGCACTATTCAGCGACAGAGAGACGGACGAACATGCAGTATGCTCGGGAAAAAAAATGTGTTGGAATTGAAATTATTCCATTTTATTTTGTCAAGTGGTTACACAAAATAAAATCATCTGGATCCAGATATATATTTTTTAAAAATTCATATGTCATCTCCACAAATGTGGATCCAGATCATTGTATCCCTTGCAAACCACTCGCCGAAATAAAATGGAGAATGTTTTATTCCCCCCGTGGAGAAAAGTCACCGAGAGATGCAAATGGAAGCACCTAAATGCGGTTAGCTGTGAGATTGCGTGTGTGCTCACGTTGCCTCCCCTGGCTGCTTGCCTGTTATTTCAGAATAGTTCTCGACATGAAGCATGCAGCCAGTAATTTCCTTCTCTATACATGCAAAAGTCAGAACGAAAAATAGGCGCCGCATGAAAAACAAACACATCCCATTCTTCCTCCGTTAATAAAAGGAAGACAACAAAAGCACAGATAAAGAGGGGAGAGAGAGAGAGAGAGTGAGACCGACCAAGGGAGGGAGGATAGATTAACTTCTCATCCAGACTTTGCTGGTGCACATATTGTAAGTAGCTTATTGCACAAAGCACCCTACATTGTACCGGTGTGTTTGCCTGATTTGTTTTGGGGACTTTTTCATGTGTTCACTTCATGCGGTCAGCTAAGCGCTTTGGGCCTAAAATAGTCATCGTGGAGATTCATGGTCATTGCATGACATCCAAAGAGCTTCCTTCACAAAAGCTGACTTCCTTCTGTTTTTTTTTTTCCTTTCCAATTCCAATTCAAGTGAGCAAAGACTCAAATCCCATGTGACTTTTACATTAGTTTCCTTTCATCCTAAGGTTAAAACAGAACTGTGTTGCGCGATATGAAGGGCATGACAAGGTCAGGGTCATCAAAGACGTGTAGAAAATGGAGTTCTTTCAAGAAGCGTCCTTTGCGAATTTGTTTGTCAGAGTGCTGAAAAAGGGGATAATTGTGGTTTAACGATATCCTGAGAAAAAAAAAAACCCAGCGCAAGATGAGTGTGAGCACAAAGTAGGCATAACAAAGGTGTGTGTCCAGTATTTGTATAAATTGTATGAGGAGAATCAAATGTGCAACAATTCACTCACTGAAAATTAACATGATCTTTATCTCAAGACTGTCACACCAGGAAACCGGTGTTGGGTATTTGTGTGGTATGATATTGCTCTTACCTGGAAACAACAAGTGGCAAAATGAGCATTTTCAACATCCGCATGAGAAGTTCTCCAGGAAACTGAAAGTACTTGACCTCCTGCAAGAGAAACAAACACGGCGCTGTTAACCTCCCGCCTTTTCCTGCGCATTTTCCTTTTAAAATCATCTTTACATGACTACTTTGGTTTGACGAATGCACTCTTAAATCTGCTGGGTTAAGAGAAACCCAAATTGGGTGAAATAGCCAACCCAGCGTTGGGTCCAAAAGTTACAGAGTTAGCTAGTTAGCATTAGCTTGAGGATTTGATGCAGCATGTTGGGTCACGAATTGGATCCAGCAAGTGGTAAAAACTACCCGTGGTGTTGGGCTGAAGCTACTAAGTAATCAGTTATCAGGTTATTAGTATAGTTGTGGTTTAAAAAAATACTAATTTTATAGCTAGTATAAGCGGAAACAAACTTTTTTGCCACAGCAAATCATGATCACGATGTGTATTTGGCACAGTTTTACACCAGATGTCCTTCCTGAAACAACCCACCCATTTTTAGGGAAGAACCAGAGACCCAACTGGATGTTACTGTACACCCTGACCGGGACTTGTACCCCAATCCCCGTGCTCAAGGTCAGCGGTGTTACCCAATGGCCATCCGGCTGCCACCAATGTTTTCAAAGAAAGCGTACATTGGATTGACTTCAACAAAAAAAAAAATGGCGACCCAAGCCAACCCAATTTGCCTGGCGAAATAATTAACCCAGCCTTTGTTAAAATTAACCGCTCAAAATCCGCAGCTACCCAGCGAGTGGATGAGTAAAAAAACAAACAAAAAACCCCAGCATCTTTTTTAGTGTGTATGTTTGTTGAAGATGGACAGACTAATAATCTTAGATGAAAACAATCGAACTAACTGAATAAATGAAAAAGGAATTCTATCATCCATCTATGAAAGATGCAGCATTTCTCTTTTACAAAACATGTTTTTTTTTTTTTTTGATTGCATGCATATCTGAGGTTGTGTGAAAGAAATGCTCGTGGAATATAAACCCAGTTGGGCTCTGAGGTCTGCAGACTCACTCAATCAGTGGAGCCCAAAGTTCAAAGCAAACATGGGGCATCAGCAAGTAGCAGTTGTGCTGCACAGAAATGAAGTTGCCAACGGAATTGAAGCTAGCTATAAGTGTAAATGCTTTTCAATCCAGGTTAAAAACTATGCCCGCCCCCATATCTATGATTAAGGTCTTTCAGAGCATTTCGTGAATCAAATTTTCCAAAATCATGCACTCGTTTAGTCATTCTGGTCAAATGCAAACGTTTTATCCCTCTACACTGCTTTTTAATTATTCTGTATTTTAGACGTCGTACTTTGCCTTTAAATGTTTTGTGAGGCCCACTGAGTTACCATGTACAGCATATGAAATGCGCTGTGCTCTCAATAAAGCTCCCTTGCCTTATTTTCATTTGATAAAGCGCAAATCTGGCAACAAAATGTGTCAAACTGCGGACGCAAAGTAAAAGAAGGGCTACGATGTTTTATTTTCAATCAGTCATTGATCAATTACTATACTGATTTATAAGAGAGTTGTTTGTTGATAAACAAGAAAAAAAAAAAAGATACCGGTAAGAAGAATGTATTAGGGAAGAAGAAATGGAGCGATTGGTGATCTGTACAGGCAAGACTGGCTGAGCAGTAAAAGCTTTTGTAGTGAGGCAGCTTTCAGGGACAAGGGCTGCGTGTGTGTGTGTGTGTGTGTGTGTGTGTGTGTGTGTGTGTGTGTGTGTGTGTGTGTGTGTTTTCAATGTTTCCAGCACTATTCCAGAACTTTTGTACTTTTGTCCTTCGCTGTGATGCAAACAGCGTGGAGTGGATTCGCCGGGGTGCGGGCTTCGCGTTTTTTTTGCAGTGAGTCAAAATCTTGCCATCGCCGGCATCTGTTAGCATTGATAAGTCGAGCGCTGATTAATTGGCTCCAGGTTGACCGGAAGAAAGGCGAGGGGTTTATTATATGTGAGAAGAGGAATAGCAACCAGGTTTCAACCCTGAATTTAAATTCTTACTCTCAGAACGGTGTTGAAGTGTTTTAAGGTGCCCTTTCTGCTGAAGCGTTGCTAGTTAGCGTCGTGAAGAGCTAACTCACTTGAGGTTGATTCTTCGCCGCAAATTTTGTTTACATTTCAATTTGTTGTGTTTGGCTCGGGAGGTTTCACCATAAATATACAGTCGGTGTTATACGAATTAGGTTATGAGAGGATGAAGGTCACATTGCTCTCCCCACACCTTGGTTATTTATTTGCTTCTGTCAGCTGAGGAGTATAGTGGGTGTATTAGGGTCAAGGCACTTTGACGAAGCTCGCCACTGTAACATTGAATTGTGCTCGTCATCGAGTAAAAGTCTCTTCAGGAGTGCGTCTCATTGTGCGCGTTGTTTGTTACACTGAAATGGTTAGCAGCTAGCAAGGCGACCATGTTGTACGACAAGAAAGCTGGCCACGATACGCCACAGCTACAGTACGTTACGGAAGAAACGAGTCGGGTTTCACATGAAGTATTATTGAGTTATTATTTCTATTTTATCTCTGGCATCAGAAGTAATACAAATGTTGTGTCACATGTTTACGTGGCACATTCAGCGACACGAACGATGGGAGTCCATGGAAGTCAGTTCCGAGATCCGCGCTGCGGTCAAACTTGACATAAAATCAACATTTGGGGTTTGTATCTCAACGCAAAGTATCTGATATCACATTAAAAATAATTTTGTTCCACCCTGACAGTTTACCATCTGACTAGGCCGATGTAAAGGTTGACAGAGGTATAAACAAGATGGAGTATGTTGGCATGCAGCAGATTCCACGCATCACGTTACATATTTATTCGGACTGTTTTTGAGTTCGAATCACATCCGCACAATACGAGAACCACAGTACGTTTTTTTTCCTATTCTCGTCTATATAAATTCAGCCTTGCCGAACTGCAACTTCGACTGGTGCTTCAATCCAAGCGCCCATTCTGACTTATGGGAATTATATAAGTCAACATGACGGTCTGTTGTTGACCTGATGTCACTGTGAGTGATTGACGACTAATCTCTCCACCGGGAATCCTGATCCATAGATGTGTCCGGCAGCAGCTCCAGGCAATCTGAGAGGCTGATGGGAACCAGCAAAGGAAGCTTTTGCCATCAATTTGGCTGCAAATCGAATCAGGAAAGAATCAGGAGCAATCAAACCCGCTCAAAAGATGTACACCCCAAAAAAAGGGCTATTCTGTATGTTTTTGTAGCCCCCAAAATGTTGAGACCTTCACAAATAGCATCAAGCCGCATGTGGGCTGGAGGCGTCATTTACATGAGTGGAAGCCAACAAGGGTACATCGTTTCCAGAGGCAGTGGTTTTCAAATCCGCTGGTGTCCAAAGGATACGTGAGAAGCGAGTGCACAGGTGTGTTGGGGGTCACAATAAACAGGGGTTAATGCATCCGACTGACCTGTTCGGAGAGCTGCTTGCCTCTCAGGAAGAAGCCAAGCAGGCAGCCAATTACCACGGCCAGCACGGACAGGATGAGGAGACCGTTCTGCTTGCAGACGTTCTTGACCCTCCCCCACACTTCCTCCAGGGCCACCGCCATCCTCACCCCTTCCTCCTAAGAAGCTCGGTCCTGACTGGAACTTTATGAAACCCCCCCTCCCTCTATCCACCAGAAAGGCCCCCCCCTAAGTGTTGCTTATTCATCCATGTAGAGCCCGCAACGCGCAGTCGACAGCCACCTGTGCAACGTGCTACGACCTACGTGCACCACACTTGGTCCAGGCAGATTAGGAACAGACCTATGAAGAAGGTAGCGGAATAAAACACAAGTGGGAAAGGACAAATGACAAGGGATTGGGTTGATCGAGGATGGGACGGCCAAGAAAAGGAAACACGCCGCAAAAGAAGCAACAATTCCACCGTGCCGAAACCGAGCTGCTTCCCGGGATATTCCACATGAGACTGACTGACAGCGTCACACAGACGAGCTCTGGATGACTCCGTCAATCACCTCTCCCTTGCCGTCTGACGGCCTCAAACCCCCCGCCCTTACACTCTTCCTGCTGGCCGACAGAGGGCCCTGCAACAGCTGGCGCTATTGTTAATACTACGATCCTATTAGGCTGTGCTGCACGACTCCCATCTAAGGCCGGATTACAGGGCTCTCTGAACAATTGGACAGCGGATTGGTGAAGACCACAAAAAAATGTTTTGTGTCACATCAATAGTTCACTGACCTTATTATAATATAAACAATAATATCATATAATAATAACCACATAACTTGGGTCTAGCGGCTCGGTGTTCCAGTTGTTAGCACGTTGACCTCACAGTGCAGAGGTCGTGGGTTCGATCCCAGCTCCGGCCTTCCTGTGTGGAATTTGCATGTTCTCCCCGGGCCTGCGTGGGTTTTCTCCAGGTACTCCGGTTTCCTCCCACATT